AGAGAGAGAGAGAGAGAGAGAGAGAGAGAGAGAGAGAGAGAGAGAGAGAGAGAGAGACTCCTCTTCACCTCCTCACTTTCCCCACCACAATGGTGGCCTCTTTGTGCATCAATTCTATTATGCTTTACTTTTATCAGTATGTGACCAGTTTTGAGCTTGGTACTAACAAACCACGCTGAAATATATCTAACCAAGTAAGCCTTTGCTACAGGTAGCTCAAACAGTGACATATACACCACACAGTCACTGTCAAACAGTGACAGTCACATTACTGCCTATCTGCCACTACACTCATAACTCAGCTTCAACTATTACTTGTTTACGCCGACGCGTTAATATTGTGTTTACTTGTTTATGCCGACGCGTTGGGTTTACTTGTTTACGCCGACACGTTATTGTGTTTACTTGGTTACACCGACGCGTTATTGTGTTTACGCCGACGCGTTATTGTGTTTACTTGTTTACGCCAACGCGTTACTGTGTTTACTGCGTCACCTTGACCGACTGCGGAGCTCCAGCTAGGAGGTAACCTTATAATGATTAGTCTTCAAAGTTAGCCCCCAAATTCGACATCCCAAGTCCTTTTCGCGACCCCCCCCCCCTGACGTCCCGAATATCAAGATCGTACGTCGAGCGCTTAAGATTTGTGCCCAACTGTTGACGGACGCACAGACGGACAATCATGCGATTCTACAAGCTGCAACTGACTTCGTTAGCTGAGCTAAAAATTTGAATGTTAAAAATTGTTACAAGAGCATTTTCACAACTGCAATGTTAAATTTGACAACGGCGGTGAGCCACTGTACCTCACATGTATAAGAAACCCTGAGATGTATATTATAAGACAGGGGTCAAAATAACCGATGGCCCCGATGGGTTCAACTTCAAGGATAGAGAACATATGGGTCCCAATAAAACCAATGTCATTTACATCAATATAAATATAATATTATATCAATATAATAGGTTAGGGTTATGGTTAGGGTTAAGGTTAGGGTTAGGATTAGGGTTAGGGTTAGAATTAGGGTTAGGGTTAGGGTTAGGCACATTGGTTTTATTCGGACCCATGTTCTCTATCCTTGGGCCGTCCGATGGTCCGGGGCCATCAAATAATCAGGACCATCAGATTTTCAAAGTCAATGGTCCGATGGACCATTGAATATTTTGAACTGCTTGACGGAAGGAATGTTAACTGCGTTTACAACGGTGATTACATTGTTGATTGTGTCCTATTAGTATTATTTGTTACTTTTTCTACTGCGATCTGCAGTGTTGATCTCTCTATTTCAGTATTTGTTGTTGTTGTTGTATTTGATCAACTTTATCGCTCTATGTCTTCGATATAGTCCACTTGACTTTGAAGACTAATATTTAAGAGGTTATGAGGTATTTACACCGATAGCTGGATACCGATACGAGAGAAGTAGGCCTAGGAAGTAAAATCAAGACGATCGAAAAAACATGATCGCTTCAACGACGCTTAGGATAACACCGCGACAGCGGGATAGGCCTAGCTGGTCAATGATTCGACAGTATTAGCAACATCATACCGTATGTTTCTGACATGATCGACGTAAACCTATCAAACAGTTTCTACATAAACTGGGAATCGCCGTCAATTGCAAATCAAATGCATTAAAAACATCGGATTACGTTTACATCAAAACAATATGGCGATTGAGCGCACGGAACTATGGGAAAGGTTTGCGATGACGTCACCGATGACGGTGGTGGCTTATTTCCGCAAACTCCACGACAGATGGCGCTCTCGCTCTGATCTCTACTATACTAACGTTCAGGGGCGTAAATCCGTACCAAGGAGTGGGGGGGATGATCACGCGAAGGGGGGGTCTGGGGGGCCCTCCCCCAGAAAATTTTTAAGTTTAAACAATCCAGACGCAGATTTGCGTATATTCGTGAAATGAACGTGTGGTGCGTGAGCGGCGTGTGTCCGACGTGGGTGCGTGAGCGCGTCGTGCTGGCAGACGGTGGTGCGTGAGCGCGTGTGTGCCGACGTGTGCTGCGTTAGCGCGTGTGTGTGCGTGCCAGCGCGGTGTGTGTGACGTGCTGCGTGACGCGCGTGTGTGCGACGTGCGTCTGCGTGCAGCGGCTTGTGCTGTGACGTGCTGTGCGTAGTGCGCGTGTGTGCGAGCGTGTGCGTTACGCAGTGTGTGCGTGAGCGCGTGTGTGTGACGTGTCGTGCGTGACGGCGGGTGTGCGACGTGTGTGCGACGTGTGTGCGTGAGCGTCGTGTCGTGCGCGACGTGTGTGTGTGCTGACGTGTGTGCGTGAGCTGCGTGCTGTGCGGCCGTGTGTGCGTGAGCGCGTGTGTGGCGACGTGGTTTCGTGCCGTGACGCGCGCGTGCTGTGTGACATGTGCGCGTTCGTGTGCATGTGCTGGGCGTGAGCGCGTGTGTGCGCACGTGTGGTGCGAGCGTGTGTTGCGTGTGTGCGGAGCGTACGCGCTGTGTGCGTGAGCGTACGCGTGTGCGTACGCAGGTTGTGACGCATGTGTGTGCACGCTGTGTGGCCGTAGATGCTGCCGTGTGTGCGACGCTGTGCGGAGCAGCGTGTGTGCGATGTGTGTGCCTGCAGCGCGTATGTTGCGACGTGTGTGCGCACGTGTGTGCGTCGCGTATACGCGTGTCGGTGCATACGTGTTCATTTTTTCGTTGTGTTGCACGTGCATGGGCGTTGTAAGACGCGCGCGCTTGCGCGCGTGTGTGTGAGATGTATGTGTGAGTCTGCTGTGTGCGTGCGTTGCGGTGCGTGGCGTGCGCGTGCGTGCGTTCGCCGCGTATGTGCTTTCTTCTCATGTAGAGTGTCGGGGACCCGTCTATAGCGTTGGACTCAACATTCGCTGTAGCAAGCAGGAACTCGCATGCATCGAAGACCTGTTCCACTACATACAGTGTTATAGTCACACTCACAAGTCCACTCTGGCTGTTTTAATAATAAAAGATGATTGTAAATAAAGCAAAACTTTCTCATGCAAGCAAATACACAATATAACAATACACAATACGCCTGCAGAAGCCATCCTCGGAGATATCGTGAGCAATCAAGCAATTTTGCTCGCGCAGCCACTATCGACATCAGTCTTTAAGCGGCTGGTGAAAAACAGAAGGGCTATCGTGGCAAACCTTACCTTAGCTAGCCTTCGGCGCTAACTTGCATATTGTCCTTATTTTTTCTACCCCGCGGAAGGAGCGTTTTTTTTATCATCAGGGGGGGATTATTGTACAGGCCATCCCCCCTCCTTCAAGAGCGGGGGGGATGCATCCCCCCAA